TTCTGTAATAAAGTTTACATGTTTTTTTACTCACTCTGACCTGGTGCCCTCCTTTCTCTTCTGCTCATCAGGTTGGTTGTACTCAAGTTGATCGATGGATCGACTTGAGTACAACCAGCCCGCCTTTAGATGTAGTGAATCTCGGCTAGTCCCTGCTGAACCAGCCGAGACATGATCCATCTTTCTCCACCTTTAGATTTACCAAAAACCAGAGAATATGATTTGTATCAAATCAGGCAGGCCCTTGCACTACATAGTTGAAGGTAAATCTAAAGGAGATCGTATAATTTCTGTACAATGTATGGCCTACTCTGATGAGTATGGCCTACTCTGATCACGTTCTATAGCAAATTACTGCAGAAAACCAGGTAATTCGAAAGCAGTCATACTTTTTCTTGCCACTATACAGTCAATGCTGAATAGTGTAAAAGCGTTCTGAATACTATGAACACCTTTTTAAACCCCAATTTAATCTCTACCCAACAACGCTATAGCCGAATGACGGCTACAGCACGGTTGTCTAGTTCTGGGAGGGCGTCCATGGACATCCTCCAGAACACGCCCCCTGTGTGCCCCCTGCGGCACGCACCTGGCATCGCCAGTGATCGCTGTGTCCTACAGACACAGCTGACCACGTGATTGGCTGTGTCCAGTGACAGCAGATCACCGGGTAAATACAGTTGCCGGTTATCGGCTGCACTTTCCTCACGCTGTCACAGCGCGAGGAAAGTACTGCCGATAACCGGCAATTGTCAGAGAAAAGATCGGCACTGATCATCAGGGCACTGATGATCAATTCCCAGCAGTGCTGCCCACCTGTACCCTGCAGTGCTGCCCACCTGTGCCCTGCAGTGCCGCCCATCAGTGCTGCCCAGCAGCGCCAGTATCATCAGTGCTGCCTATCCGTGCCTCCTATCAGTGCCCATCAGTGCTGCCTATCCATGCCACCTCATCAATGCCCATCAGTGCTGCCTATCTGTGCCACCTCATCAGTGCTGCCTATCTGGGCAGCCTCATCAACGCACATCAGTGAAGGAGAAAAATTACCTGTTTGCAAAATTGTATAATAAAAACAAAGAAAAACTTTTTTTTTTTTCAAAATTGTTTGCTTTTTTTGTTTATAGCGCAAAAAATAAAAACACCCAGCAGCAATTAAATACCACCAAAAGAAAGCTCTATTTGTGTGAGAAAATAATTATAAAAATTTCATATGGGTACAATGTTGCATGACCGCACAATTGTCATTCGAAGTGCGACATCGCTGAAAGCTGAAAATTGGCCTGAGCAGGAAGGGGGTGCAAGAGCCCTGTAGGCAGGTGGTTAAACTGTCTGAGGTCCTAAGAACACAGACAACCAGTCATGATAATACATCTTGCAGAACAGTGGCTTTTTTAGATCTTGGTCCAAAACATAGAAAATGCAATATACAAAGAGGCTTGTAAAGTTATTAGAAAACAATAACTGTGAACTATTCCTTTGCATGGAATCAGTTGCACGTTAGAATATAGAGATTGAAATCTAAGTCACTGAAAAGATAACGGACTTGCTGGCTTGAGAGGCTGCCCTGATTTTATAGCAGCTACTATACAAATGTTTTTTAATCTGACAAGCATAGAATTTTTTTAAGCCAATGTAAGCATATTAACCACAAATGAATATTGTACTGTGTATACGTTTATGTAAATTAGAGACTAAAGTTTATACAAACATATAAAGAGGATCCAGTAGTGACTGTTTCAAAGACATTTTAAGCACAATAAAAAATATGCTGCCAACTTGAACGGATCCAGCATACATTAACATATTGTTAGAGTTTATTGGGGAATAAAGAAAGGCTGCTCCGAGTCTGAGGTCTGTGTTATGTAACACGGGCCTGGCTACCAACTCCCAACATTCCTGTATTCAGTGCTGCAGAACCTCCTGAAATTACCATGTTACAGTTCTATTCACCACAGAATAGAAAAAGGATATAGAAGCAAAGAAATTGTGCCAGCCATGCAGAAAAGACTTTGTTTAAAAAAAAAAGATCATTTTTTTTAAACATATTTGCTAGAACAAAAAAGTAAAAAGAATGCAGACAAAAATAAAGACTCAGTAAATGATGTTGACTTGTTCTACGACACTGATGAAGGTTGCTCAGCCTGGCAAGCAATATTTCCAACATCAGCACTTTCTTACACAGGGACTTCTGTTTTCCTACTTCTGTCATTACAGTTTGCCATTTTAAAACTTTTAAAAAATTAAACCCTTTTTTTTCAACCGGTAAAAAAAAAAAAAAAAAAAAAAAAAAAAAAAAAAGCTCCTGTATGCATTAGGCTATATATTTTGACGAATATGCAGTGATTTAGGTTACAGGAATGCATATGTCTTGTTTTTCAGTTTCAGCCTCCAAATCACCGTATTCCTAGAAGCACATCTGCAGTACATTAGAGGCTACAAAACAAGAGGAGCAATGTTCTCGCTTTGGATTTCAGGCACATGGAATAACTATGTTGAAAACTGACCTCACATGGCCTACTGGTATCTTTCACGCACCCAAACTACAGTTGATTAAAGAACAAAGAAAAATCAAGGACTGTCATAATAGCATCACACAAACTTTATTCACGCGTAATATGTTTGTCACAATACAGCAGACTGCTGCTGTTGCTTAATATGGTACAAAAAAATAAGCTGGGTATGACAGTCAGTGGCTGCAAACAACTAACTTGTGCTGCTGTGAATATCTAAACTATTCATTTTCTCAGTAAGGCCTCATGCACACAGGCTTATGAAAATAAGCAGCATTTTTTAACAGAATTTGGTAGGAAAAAAAAAGCCTCTAATGTTCCAATATGTATGCCCCCCCCATGCTCATTTATGTGCATTGTTACTCATGTTTCTAAATGTATGGCATTTGAGCGCAAATGTATTCTATTGACCAGAATATTAATTTATACTGGCATATTTTTACACGCATACATGTGCATTTATTCCACCAAAAAAGCTCTACCTGTAAAAAAAAAAAAAAAATGTAATATGGGTACACGACCATACCATATGGGTATGTTGCACGACTGCACAATTGTCATTCAAAGTGCGACAGCACTGAAAGCTGGAAATTGACCTGGGCAGGTAGGCGTGAAAGTGTCTGGTATGGAAGTGGTTAAGCTCCATGTGCATGAGGAGCTAAATTGACTACAGTGGGAAAATTTAGAAAAAAAAAAAAAACAAAACAAAGAAAAACAGACAAATATTTCATTCTTGCCTGGTCTGTGCAATAGTTTTGCACAAAGCACCCCAGATCCTCCTCTTCTTGGGTCCCACGCCGACGCTACTTGCTCCAACCTCAAGCATCCTGGATAGACATCGGGTGGGAAGCGGCACACAGAAGGCTTTTGTACCTCAATGCATTCAGAAGTGGTGGCATTGCTACTGGGCACTTTCTAGTTATGAAAAACTACAGGCGGCACAAAAATTTTCACAATACAGTAAAAATTGACTACAATAATCAGTATTTGGTTAAAAATACACAAACTGATCTGTACTGCTGAAGCATAACCTGCCAGAACACTTTGCATTTTTGTATCATATTGCATAAAACATTTAGTAAAGTGCAGGCAAACCTCTTATTACACAAATGAAAGGCTCATATGGGCCTGGTTTACCTGCCAAAAGGATGTATATTTCTGTCCAAATATTTATGAAATTTACACAGCTCTGCAACACAGCACAGGTAGGTTGGTGATTTGACTTTTTTCTACTGCAACCTTTGCCATGTGCATGCTGGACACCTGATTGGTCCCTAGTGCTGCCCTTCTTTTTACTAGTCCGAGTGAGGCTGTACATGAGATTTGAAGAGGTTGATATGAAGCCAACATATTCTATTTGAACAAGCATATGTAATATTTTTGTTTTACTTAAAATCGGAATTTAATTTTTTTTTTTTTTTTTTTTAATCTAACAGCTGCTCAACTTCAATATAGCAGAAAAAAAAGGCACCACTTTTCACTGCACTCTCACTTTAGTTAAAGTGGTTGCATAGACCAGGCATTCCAGGCAAGAAGGTAAAGAACCTTCTGTGTGTTGCTTCCCCCACAGTCTCACGAATACTTGCCCGATTCCCCTTTCAATCCAGTGGTGTGCACGGAAGTCTCGGCTGTCTCCGGCCTCTCTCTTCATTGGCTGACACACAGCACCTTCAGCCATTGGCTCCCACTGCTGTCATTCACAGTCAGTGAGCAAATGAGGAGACAGCAGGGTCAGGGACAAGCCACAGCTCTATGTATCTTATGGACACAGAGCGGGGCTTGGGAGTGAGCACGCATCAGTGCCTCCATAGTAAGTGGATTGCTATTGGGTGCATTGGTCAAGAGGATGGAACCTGAAGCACTGGCGGGGGACCCAAGAGGTGCTGTTCTGTACAAAACCATTGCACAGAGCAGGTAAGTATGACATGCTTGTTGTAAAACAACAAAACACCTTTAATATCACTTTAAGCAACAGTTCAAGAGGCACTATTGGAACTACAGTAACTAAATAAAACCAGGTACTTACTGAATCCTATGAATTCTGAAACTGAATTATATCAGTGAAAGAATAAAGAAAAGCTATGTAGACAACTTTGATGAGTGAACAAGAACCTGAATATGTTTATACAAGGTATGAACATTTAATGATAAATTACATTATCTAGACTGTGCACCAATCCGATAGCTGTTCTAATTGATCATATACAGTATGTTTTACGTTGTTAGGATAACGCTAAATCAACGAGTATGCATGTGGTTAGACACGTTTCAAACATACATTGCCTTTTAAACACTGCTGACAACGTTAACAGTGCTGTGCTGACAAAAACAAAGAGAAAAAAAATTGTTATTTAGATGAGAAATAGACAAGTGCATGCTGGGGAAAAAGGGTCTTGCTAGAGGCTGCAATGAAGGATAATTGTGCCAAGAAAAGCTAGATGTTTTGGCCATCATCCAGGACATAGTTTCCAAGAGCACATCAACACTCACCCTGCTATGTATGGGAGACACATGGAAATTTCTACCACTTGTAAACACTGAATCCACTTCAATATTAGTGTCCCTACTAGGGTTGAAAGCACAGAATGACTGAGCTTTAGGGAGCCCCACTGACCTAAAAGTAAAACAAAAAAAAATGAAAACACAAGTTGCATCACGAGAGAGAAGCATCATATTAAGAAAACTGTCACAGAGGCATATAAACACAGTGATTGAGATCTACCGACAGAGCAGAAAATAGTTAACAGCTCAGCCATTTTTTTTTAGCATTGTTCAATTGGGGAGATTTCCCTTAACTGCCTGTCCCAGGGACAGAGTGTGGGGAAATCTCTTAACCACCAGCTGTCACCAGCAGTTGTCCCCATTGAAGTATTTCTCTTCAACCCCTGTTCCAGTGAAAAACATACAATTTTCGAACATCCTGTAGTCTACTTTCCAACTGGACCAGGACAAACAAAGGTTGGTTCTTACCAGTAAGGGAAACCAGCTACAGTACAATAAAAACCCAAGTGGTTTATTTAAAAAAAAAAAAAAAAAAAAAGAAGGGTGGCTAGAGATATATTTTTAAGACTAGTCCATTTACAATGAAGCTTTACAGCAGGGGTGTCCAACCTTCTGACTCTCCTGGGCTACATTGGAAGAAAAGGAATCATCTTGGGCCCCACATAAACACCAATAAGGCAATAAGGCCCCATTCATACTTCATGATTTTGAATTGCGGGCAGAACTGGCTTGATTCTGCCCACAATCACAAATCTCAACTGCAATGGTGCAATGCGTATTTAGATGCCATTCATTCCTAATGGCACCTCAAACGTAGAGCAATTTTGGAACGGCAAAACACATCATGCCACGCTGTCGACCAAAAGAAGCTCTTGCCCCCTTTTTCCTCGTTGCCTTGACTGCCACGCGATTCTGTTGTGAGACAAAATTGCACCACATTTGCGGTGCCATTAAGAATGAGTGACGTGATGTGTTCTGCCACAATTGTAGATTGATTTGGAATTGTGGGCAGTATCGCAGCAATTCAAAAGTACAAAGTGTGAAAGGGGCCTAAAAATAGCTGATGAGAAGAAAAGGTTGTGCAGATGATTAGATTTCAACTATGTGCTGTGCCCACCACAGCACCCTCTTAGATCTGGCCATGTGGCACTTGGCTGGCGCTAACTAGCCAGTGTCACTGCATGCGCTGCCAATGCTATTGCAAACACAGCATCCCTCCAGACATTCCTGGGCATTGCTTATCTATGATGGCCAGGCCATGGGTGCTGTGTCAAACACGGCATCCCCGGCATCCCTCCAGAAATGAACATTCACAGCTGCAAGTTTACAAATGCTTTACAGCATTTATCAGATTTTATTGATTTTTGTAGCATCACTTTTGAAGATTTTTCTTCCCTTCCTGTTCAAATGTTAATATTGTCACTGGAAGAGAAAATAAAAAAAAAATCAACTGTCAAGAACACACACTGATAAAATGCTGGCAACTGGCAGCCAGTTACACAATGACAGGAAGCTCAACAGTGCTCAGTTCATTGAGAACTACAAGCAGACAGTTTTCCCATTCACAGAATACTGTGAATGAATGACCTGGCATTTTTTATTTTTTTTTTAATTCAGATTGTGACAGGCAGCAGAGGGAGAACATCCCCGCTAGCTGTCAAAACGGGATCAGGAGGGAGGAGGCCAGGGCATCTGTAACATATTACATGTTGCACCCTGAATATGGGTTTGACATGTACCATGTTACAAAAGGTGAAGTTATTCCTTAATGTTGTTGGTGTTACCCTTACTTCCTGTCCAGATTACAAAGTTGACATCAGTATAAAAATGAAGAATTCTCCTCAACAGGGACATATACAGCAGAGAAAAATATATTTTTGGTAGTTTGGAAGATGGCTAGTACCCTGTAAATTGTTCATCACTATGCATGATTTCATTTAAACAAAATATATTTAACCCTAGGTTCACACCTTAGCGGGTTGGCGGGTTCCCCACAGGGAAATCGCATGATGCAGATCCCACACCCGCAAACCCGCTGTGGGTTGAGATGCATGCGGGTGCTATTAGGACAGAATGGCAGCCCCATGCTTCTCTACAGAGCAGCACTATTTCGCTACAGGTGTAGGAACAGCTGCGATTCCCGCACCCAAAACCACCCACTCGAGTGTATTAAAGCACCAAATTAAAAAAATGCACGCCATATTCTGTTCAAACAAAATACTTACTGACTTCCAAAATCCAGTACAGAAGGCTGTAGATGTAAGGCCCTCCCACTAGGCCTTGCTATACTGAAAGACAATAAAACAACAATGGTCAGATTTGAAGCAGTCAAATAGCTGCATTGCATACCACATTAACATATTAAAAGTTACAAAAAACTTGTGCTGTATTAACCAATTACAGTGAAGAACAACTTTTACTACACCATAAATTCACCCTAAATTGGCATGTATTACTACAATTTTTAGGAAACTATCCACCACATATCTGTTTAATAATGGGTGCCAGTAGTGAGAAAACATAAATCAAGTTTTGGTGCAGCTGGCTGGCAGAAAATATATAAAAGCCCAGGAGGGTCAGGCTACCAACATCTACAAACAAGCTCAGATATTTAAACCTTTAAAGATAGAGAAACTACTACAATTAAGCCCCAGCAGGGGCAAAACAAGTCAAAGAGGAGCTGGGTGGAGTGTCCTCAACAGTGCCAGAACAATAAAGTTGTCATAGTTCTACAGGTTGGAAACCGGTAGAGGTCATGAAAACCCCCCACAGATTTTTTTCTTCACCAAATGAACCTCTTGTTTTTTGTGCCACACTTAAAAATTGTGCCAAGCAGAAGAGCACTTTAGGATATTTTGTCATCTTTGGGAATATAATTTAACTGAACCAGTATAGCTAATAAGATGCTGCTGTGTAAATTTGCATGGTTCAGCATGAACAGCACAGTTCAGGAAGAACGTAGGTTCACACATCAAGACCACAATTTCTGTAGTGTTCTTCCACTTCCGATATGTACTCTCAAACTTTCACCACAGAAAAAAAATACGTTCAAAACTTTGTCAAGAACTTTTTTTTTTTTTTTTTTAAAACACGAAGAAAACCAGAAACCTTCAGTTTCGATATTTGGATACATTGGGTTCTGTACGTATGGAGGCCACAGTAAAGCTGGCTATACACTAGTAGATATCAAACAGTCTTGCAAAAATTCTCATCGGTACATTCGATGACAAAAAAACAACATGTTGTGCTGTGCTTTTAAGTAAACCATTAAAGTAGAACTATAGGCAAAACTTTATTTCATTTTGGATAAAGTAAGAGGGTTGTAACTCCTGTCAGTTTTTCTGCCATCTGTGACCCTTTGGGGGGATTAACTTCACTTCCTGTCCCATAGCCAAAAAAGGAAGTGACAGGAAACCCCTCCAAATTATGGGAACCCTCTGGGACCCCACAGGTCACCAGAACTAGTGTGCCCCGTGGAAGATGTCCCCCTTTTTTCTGGGGACAACCCAAGTTTTAGAATTTTCTTTTACTTTCACAGTAAACAGGACAAATAGGGTGAATCTCTCCAACGTGGGGAGAGGTACCAATTGGTGCTCTAACCCCTCTCCACTCAGAAAAGTTCTTCTACTTTAAATTTGTGCAAATTAGTGTGACATAAACATGAACATTATTAACCGTTTTGCACAAACGCAGATTTCTCTTTTACACATTCAATAACATTACAAATGTCATTTAAAAGTATTAATTTTCAAAAGAAAGGTCCTCTGGGACCTGTCGCATGTCCCAGAGGACTGGGGGACCATTCACAATGCGCAGCGCCACTCACGCATTTAGTGCACACCCAGTTGTGAAATTGCAAGCTGTCACAGCCGGGTGCCCACACTTAAGATGCCAGCGCCGGGGACAAAGGACAGCCAGTAAACCTGACTGCAGGGAGGATACCGCTGGATCCTAGGACAGGGGTGTGCTGGTTTGTTTTGTTTTTTTTTAGTTTTTTTATAAAGTCAGCAGCTACAGTTTTTGTAGCTGCCGACTTTTTTTTTTCACCAGAGACTGGAGCGCCGCTCTAAAGGCTAAGTTCACCTTTGGAACGTGTTACACCTGTATTTAGGGTGTACCATGTTCCAGCACCTTCCAAGACCCTCCTTCCCTGTGGCAATGTGCAGGGATTCCCCTCCCCCACATTAAAAATGAGTGCGGCTGTGCAGGGCTCCGCCTGCACAGCTGCATCATTCATACCCAGGGATCTGAGAATGAAGAAAGTCCCATCTTCCACCATGGCAGATGAACTTACAGTTTTAAATGGACTGCAAGGGCATTGTTGTGTGCCTGACACTTCCTGCAGCTTTCTGATAGAAAGCCCACATAGTGGTATGGGCAAGAAAGATGGAGGATGTGTCTATACGAGTCCAACATGCATTTGTGATCCACTTATCTACTCCTGTAGAAAAATAATAGATGCCCATTTGCAAAAATGTGCACATTTATTTTTCCCTGAAACGTCAACTCAGCCTTTAAAAAGGCTGACTCAAAAAAATAGAGGTAAAAAGGTATAAGGGTGTTCATAGCTGCGACCGTTGAGACCTTGTATGTAGCTTGGGCACATCTTTGTCATGAAGGAAAACAGAGACAAGTGCTAGTATATACAGGCACCACAAAGTGTGAATCCTTTATCACTAATGTTAGTTAATGCACTTTGGTGGACTTGACAGGATCACTTTAAAATTACAAGCACAAGTCTGCAGTGTTTTGGTCAGAGAGGGAAAAACTCTGCAGTACAGAAATAGTGACTTTAGTGACCCTGTTCCCTGGAATTTGCTGTCAGTGACAAGACTACTAGTTTGACATGGCCATAACATACAAAGCTTCCACATTTATGCATTTTATTTTCACAGCACTTGGGAGGAGTGAAATTGGGACTCCCCTGATACATATGCTTTATACGTTGATGAAATAAGCTTTTCGACACAGGCTATGTCCAGTATATCACATAATTTACCATCGAATGAATAGATACATTACAGACCAGCACAACTTGTTCATTCTTATGTGCATTTGTCACTGTATTGTAATGTCTATGGAAATATGCAGAAATAGATTAGTGTAATGGACATGGGTTAAATGGCAATTCTGGAGTGGTATATACAGTGGTGTATTTAGGTTTTGTGCTGCCCTAGGCAACACAAAAATCAGACGTACCCCCCCCTTCCCCCAGAGAGAGCCTGACACCAACCAATAGCACCACCCCACAGAGAGAGCCTGACATTGACCATGACCAACAACACCCCTGTCCTCCTCAACCCACCCAAGAGAGCCTTCCAATAACATCTCCCCCCATCAGCGAAAGAGAGAAACCTTCATAACTCCAGCTATCCCCAGGAATGAAAGTCAGGCCCTACATACACACCGTCAAGCAACCTGCAGCCTCTCTAGGATCCCACCTGGTCCCCATGCCACATGTGTCCCTTCTTACGCCCCTTCTTCCGGAGGTCAGTGCTGCCCCCCTGAAATATGCCACCCTAGGCAAATGCCTTGTTGGCCTTGTGGTAAATACACCCCTGGGTATATACCATGTTCAGCGCTTTGTGGACACCTCTACACATGTTTCTTAGTGGTACCCACCTGGGTCCTAATGGTTTATGCGTCTGTCTTTTCTCAGTGTTCGCTGCACAAAGGTTTCCCACCTTCATGCATTGAATGCATAAAAGGTAAAAACCTTTAGCCTTTAGAACCACTTTAAGCCCCTTACACAGGGAGTTTTTCATTCTAACACAAGTGGTGTTAGTGCAGTAATCTCCCCCGCTGTGCTATTGTGTTCTGACAGGGGGACAGGCCCCCCCCCCCCCCCCCCCCCCACCCCCCCCCCCCCCCCTATAAACACACTGATCAGTGCTCTCAGCCATTGACAAGCCTGGCACTTGCAAATATAGGGGTATGATCATTTAAAGTGCATCCACTATCCATGAATTCTGGTCTAGTTCTGCAGGATCACATTTAGTTCTCTTCATCTATACTTGCAAGCTTCTGGCCTGCTTATGCATTGTACATAACATTTGTTTTTCCACTCACTTTATTATCTTTATTTAAAATTCTGCAGGTGTTCAGTGAAAAAAATCAGATAACACACTACAGCCTAATATGGAGTATCACTGTCATCGTGTTATTTACCATAACTCCTACCCCTAAAGACATATTCAGCAATGAAGTGCAGAATGTCACCTAATTTCTCTCACCACACAAAGGGAGATGCCAATGACCAGATAAAACCAGAATTGCCCCTACTGATCTGCCTTTCAACAGGCATCACTATTGTCATACTCTACAGTTATATTGCTTATATTTTTCATAAGCAAAATTCCATTTGTAATGTTTGGCATGCAAAAGATACCCCTAAAAATGAGGGTTAGCATTTTTCAAGTGGCGCTGTGAAAGAAAGTATTTAGCATTATAATTTAAAAAGACTGTTCCGCTGTACTTAATATATTGCTAAAACAGAGAGGATACAAGTAATTCTATTATGTATTACAGCAGAATAGAGGCAGGAGAAGAGGGGAGGGGTGGGGAGGAGATCGGCTCTCTCACACACAGACTCAAAATGACAGGCAGGGAGGGAGAAGGAGAGGCTGAACACACAGCGGGGATTACGGAGGCATATAAACTGACCACAGTATCATGAATTACCATGGTCAGTAAACATAGGGGGGACATAGGAACAGGTAGGATCAACCAGGTATTTTAAACCATAGAATGAGGCAAGTTACACTGCAAAAGCACTGTGCTAAGGAGTACACATTAAAGGAACAGGAGCACTTTAAATAATCTAACATAGCAAAGCCTTCCAAACTCCTGTCACTTTAACCTTTTTTCCTCTCACACGTTCCCAAAGAGGAGAAAACATAGTATGAAATACGTTCTATAGGCAATGTAAATACAAGGAAAAGATTAACTCATCTCTGTTCTTCTGGTCTCTTATTGCATTATAATTACTTCCAATTAGGTTTCTATTCAATACAAAAAATGTGTGTCATTTTACAGGCGCCAATTCCGGCACAGTGCATTTGTTACAATGTTTGCAATAGCTACAGGTGCATTATACATTTAAATACTCCCTGTGTCTTTTGATTCATATTTACCAGGGAACTTGGCAGCAAGTCCTATTTGCAACATGAAGAAGGAAAATAGTACAACAGCTAAACAATGTTTCAATATTATATATGCAAAAAAGTAACAGCATTTAACTTCACTGAGACAATGTGTTCTTCCTTTTACGAATGTTCAATATAAACAA